CCCATATCCAGCAGTCACAGTGCGAGGGGCGGGGTACACCCTGGACAGGTCGCAAGTCCATCACAGTGAAATAATTTGATTTTTATAATATTGTGGTTTGGCTTTGCGTAATTCAGCAACACATTTATTTCGGTAACTGTTTAAACGAGACCGATTTTCAGAAGTTTTTGATATTCTATAAGTTTTCATTGAAGAAGCTTTCAACTTTAGGAGATGTATTAATTATAGAGGCATTCAACCATGGAATTTTATTTTTCCCACTGAGGATTGTGTGGACATTCCTATGCTCACGTATGGCCACAAACTGTGGGTAGTGACCGAAAGAACAAAATCGCAGATACAGGCAGTCAAAATGTAGTATTAGTAGTAGTAGTAGTAGTAGTAGTAGTAGTAGTAGTAGTATTTATTATAAATTTGTCATACACCACAAAAGGTGCCCAACCCACATGGGCTTATAAGACACATTCAAAGGTGCTGACAGAGACCAGTCAACCTTCTTTAATGAGAACATAGAGAACATTTTCGATCCTCTGGAACGGAGTGAAATCATCCAGTTTCCAATGCTAGAGGCAAAGTACCTCTAAGCTGTGCACACTGACCTCTGTTTAGTTAAATTACATGTATCATAAAGCTCAGGTCCACAAGCATCCTTTATTAGGATATAAGTTTGCAATTTTCAGCCCATTTACACTTATAAACTTAAAACAAACAGTTTGTTCAATATTAAATTTCAACCTCTTTCTATAAATGTACTGAAAATCAGCCTCCTCAAATATCTTCTCAGTTTGTCTAGCCCAAACCCACATCTATTGGACAAAATTAGTTTTCTCCGCAGGGTAGCTGGACTCTCCCTTAGAGAGTTTTATACAATAAAACCACGATGACCATTCTACGGAGTGTCTTTATATTTTTGTTTCTGCCTTTGGTAAAATAAAGAATTCCATAACAACTTAGAGACAGGAGAGACTCAGAGCAGAGCTGCTCCTCCACATCCAGAGGAGCCAGTTGAGGTGGTTCTTCTGACTCCTCCATCGAGGTGCTTCAGACGTGTCCGACTGGGAGGAGACCCCTGGGAAGACCCAGCAGAGACTCTCTTAGTCAGTCTGACCTGACTCAGAATAAGCAGAAGATAATGAATGGGTGGATAAACCTTTTTTATTGACATGTTGGAGAAAACAAACCTAACTCCAGCTGCTTGATGCACTTTGAATCAAACCTCTGAGGAAAAAAACATCCTGCTGTGATTCTTCACCTCCCCTTTCCTCTGCAGAGCCGCTGAGAGCAAACACTGTACGTCGAAAACACATCAAGACCGTAATGATCGGTTCAATGTTCTAAACTGTGTCTTGTGAAGCATATTGGGGCCAAAATTTGTGATTAATGGATCTCCCTGACAGATACCAGTCTGTCRGCCTGAGAAAACGAGTTTAACAAAGAGTTTAAATTAACAAAATTTGCGCTAATAGCATTAGGCGTACATCAAAGCAGTTTTAATCAAGCGAGCCTCGGGCACAAAATGCACGGCCCACTAAAAAGAATGAACGAGTCCCCACACAGTAATTTTATATTCAAGCTCTCCAAATTCAGAATGGCCTGGCTGTGAGCTTTTAAATGCAACTAAAAGGGCATACTGTTCTGTTAAATGAGAAACTCTCTGTTCATGGACAAAAAATAGTCGTTATTCCATGAAGACTCTTAATTCAGGCTCACTTTTTATTTTCTTTTCTTTTCTTTTCTTTTTTTTATTATTATTATTTTTTTTTGTAGTGCTGCAGGTTCACTCTGTTTGGAAAATACAATAACACATGAATGGGGAGTTTTGCTCAGATTTGTTGTTCAGTTTTAACCAAATGTGTAGAATTTGCAGTTCAGCTCACAGAGCCGGCACTAATGGGATGACCTGCTATCAACTTTTTAACAACATCCCTGGTTGGCAAAGTTCTACGGCCTAATTAAAGTGTTGCTATAGTAAAACAGGGAAATGGAGCATTGATTAATACCACACTGAGTGAGCCACAAGCTTCTGCTTTTATTAGATAGACCATAATCAGGTCAGCAGGCCCCGACGCACTAAAAAGTGATATTGAACTCCTCGGATTATCTGATTACAGAGAAAAAATCAGATCCTGGATCAGCTACACCTGACTTTAATTAGGCCAGAAGTGAAGATTAGCTGAGATGTGAAGGAGATTGTAAAGGTTGAGGATTGCAGAGCAGCATGTTTTTTTAAAGTCTGACATAATTAATAGCTCCTGAATGTCAGAATACGGCTTCTATTGGCTGCTGGCGTGGAGACGGGCGTGTGTAATTATTACAGGAAACTATAGCTGCACACAGATGGCTACAGGCTTGTGGACACTGGAACATCCAGCTGGCGAGATCGGCTTTTGAATTGAGTTAAAATTTATTATCCTGCTGTAATTATTTGTAAAAATGATTGTATCTGTGGAGCTGCAACCTGAAAGCAGGGTTATAATGGAGCGGGGTTTAAAAACAAGCCAATTATTCTGGCAGAATGTTGCTTTTTGATTCATCCCAGAAAAAAAAAACAGATCTTTTGGCAGAAGACGGGCTGAAGTGACATTGAAGGAAACTGGGATGGGTGATGGATCCAGAGCCCGGCTGGACCTCGCTGCCTGTGTTGTGGAGCAGATGGGGCTTGGTGCTGCTCAACCTGGTGTTCCTCGTTTGTCGTCTGTTGCCCCAGCCTTCAGAGCCACAGGAGCATTTGTACTCGCGCTCCTCYCTGCGTGTTGTGGGTTTTTCTGACTGAGCCTGGCTAACTGTTGGATTGGTTTTTTCACTGCCAACACTCCTCTGCTGTGCAACACTTGGGCTGTAACATGGAGAGACCATATCTGTGGGTTTATCAAGTACTTTTCTGTTGGGTTTTTTTTTGTTTGTTTGTTTGTTTTGTTTTTTTGTGTGTAAAAAGAAATATTTTTGACTTTTTATTCAGGATATTGAAACTAATTTATCAATGTGAAGAACTGGTCCTGTCATTACTTTGGATTATGAACAAATCAAGTAGCAGAATCATCTGTTTTGGTGAAAATCAGATTGAGAAGTCTCTAATAACCACCTGGCACATTGAAATCCAGTCTGGTCTTATGGTTAAATGTGAAATTAACAAAACACCAGAAATGTCAACATTTGTGTTGATTTTTGTTTTGTTATAAACATTATAAAGCTGTATAGTTGAGAACACTYGTCCTCCATCATTCACTGTTCAAATCAAAACTGTTTTATTTGTCACACACAGTATTACACAGTATGACTTTTTGTGAGGGATCTGCACACATGGGCTAAGAAACGTAAGTTTAAATGTAAACAAAATTAATTGAAATGCAGAGCATGCAAAATGATAAAAAATAACAAAAAAATTCTGATAAATCATTTCACACGCATCTCATGTGGAGGCTTAATTAATGACATGTGCTAACAGTAAGTTAGGAATGGAGAAAAAACATAAACAGCAAAAAACAAACAAAAAATGAGTGGTGCTTTTCAAAATAAGAGCATGACATGATGTAAACTACATGTGGAATCAGGTGTTCTTTTTACGTTGTTGGATGTTTTTGTTGTAAGTAAATTTTTGTTGCTCAGTCAGCCTCTTTGTTTTTATAAATAAATCCTTTTCCTTTGACTTCTTGAGTTTTGCCTGCTCCCTGGGTTTTTTACACACGACTGTAACAATTTAATGTTTTAAACAGTTCATAGAAAATGTCTGAACACACGTAGTTTTTATTATGTTTGCAGAGTTTTTCCTACATTGTTCGTCTCAGTTGCTGTCACACTTAATTAAAATCTTCAAATTGTTTGCAAACTCTTTGTARTGTCACGGCTGTCCTGGTTCAAACAGAAATTAAACATCAACTTATTTTGACTTCTTTCACCCAGAGTCTCACTGCTGGAGTTTACCTCAAATCCCACCCAGAACACACAGTGTACAGATTTAGGTATATTTTATATATTCTTTATTTTGAACAAAATAAAAAAAAGAATACACACACACACACACACACA